CGTATGCCATTTGGGTATTGTAATAGCCCGAATGTACCTATGAGATATGTAAGTGACATTTTTCGTTGTTTTATGATGAACTGTGAAGTTATAGTGTACATGAACGATTTAAAAATGGCCACAGAAACAATTGAGGAGAATATCGAAGTGTTGCGTAGGGTGCTAGAGATGATTCGTAGAAATAAGCTAGAACTAAAATTAAATAAGTGTATAAAAATAATAGGCGTATAAGGACAATAAGTGATGGCGACAAAGTTGGTAGAGACAATAAGTGAATGAAATATGATTTATATTGTAATGGTTTATGATTTATGTTGTAATGGTTTTATGATTTGTGTTGTAATATTAGATTTAGATTACTGTTGTATTAGATCTCATCAGTCGGGGACGCCTGTGAGGTCAGGATTGGCCGAACTATAATATTGTATGTCTGTCATTTGAATATAACGGCCAAGAGTGTCTATCCTGACGTGTATGTGCTCTATGGTGTGTCATATGTAGAGTGTCTGATCCCGTACGGAACAGAAGTATGTATCTGTGTGCGAGTCAGTCTGGCGGTAACTAGAGTGTAGAACAGTTCGGCGTTGTGTTAATTTGGTGGATTATTAAATGTATTTGTGTGAAGTAAAGGGTGTTTTATTAATTAATTAATGCTAGAATAGAGCTAGCTTAAAATATATATATATATATAAATTTAGTGTCACAGTTAACGTCCGCGATGGACGCCTAAAATACTGAACCGATTTAAAATTTGTTTTGCTCACCGTGTGCATTATAGATCTTATGAATAATTTGATCGATAACGTTGGGTACATCAACTTCAACCGTCGGATCGAAAAATCAAATTATAAGCTAGTGCAGTGGTGACGTCACATGTTTACCTGCAGTGTAGTACAAAATTTCTATTGTTACAGTTAAAACGTGTGTCCTCTAGCGGGACATGCTCGGTTTGAGTTCGATACAAATTTTGTTTATAATAAATAAACTAAAGTGATAAACAATAATACTGTGAATATAATCGTATTGTTTAAGTGATATGTGTGACCCTGCCTACGGGCAGAAAAATGCAATCCAGTACGATGGGAACCATCCCAACGAACTCTGAGCGTGCGTTTCTAATCCCATACACACATTATATAACATTGATAACATAAATAATGACGTCATTTCTGTAATCGAAAACACAAGTGAAAAAAAAATTAGTAGATAACATAAAAACCAAACATAAAACCAGGATCAGTAAAAACACTGAAAAAACTATCAAAATTAACGCAGAAACAATTCCAAAAATAATGAAAACAAACACAATTCAAACAGTCGACACAAATAAAATCGGCAATAAATCAAGAAATTTGAATATTCCTTCAGTAATTAGAATGGAAAATGATATCGAGATGTCATGTGATAACAATATTTCTCAACTACTCAAGGCTACCTACCATTACATAATACGTGCGACGTTCAAAACAACGTGTCTACTAGTGATGGGCGTGGAATCAACGAACGGTTATTTTCAACCGTTTCTTCTTCGTTAACGAATCAACCGTTTCGTCGCAACGAATATAAATATAAATATAAATATAAATATAAATATAAATATAAATATAAATATAAATATAAATATAAATATAAATATAAATATAAATATAAATATAAATATAAATATAAATATAAATATAAATATAAATATAAATATAAATATAAATATAAATATAAATATAAATATAAATAAATATAAATATAAATATAAATATAAATATAAATATAAATATAAATATAAATATAAATATAAATATAAATATCAACTGGTTTCGAAGTAGTTGAAAACATGGCGACCAGTTAGTTCCATTCAACGATATAGATATTTGTTTGTTGTCGAAAACGAACGTACGCGGGTACCTTTGGAAAAACCTAGGTCTGGCGTCAGAATGGATCAACTAATTCTATGAAAATCGCTTATTGTTAGGCTACTGCTTTTATAATATTGCAGTTGTATGGGTACATATTAAAAGAAACGTGCAACAAGCGCCAAATCGTTTAATTTTAGAAAATCAATTACATTTATTATAGTTTTCAATGGTTAATATTTTTTCTTAAAATTTTCATAGCATTTGTCTTGTAATAATTTTTTTAAACCAAACCTGAAAATTGATTTTTAATTTTTCATAACATTTTTATATAACTATATATTTTTATATTGCTATTTTTATATAACATGTAAATTCGATGTTTTAGTATATGGCTTTGCTGTTAAGTTTTTTAAATATTAGAGATTAAATGAAAAAAAATTAAATAAATATTAAATATTGAAAATTTAAATATTAAATTAAACATTAGTATTAATAATAATAAATGTGAAATATATATATATATATATATATATATATATATATATATGTGTGTGTAATAAATGTGACAATTCACATTTAGTTCTTTTTATTCATCAAATCAGTTGACAACGTCAACTTGACTTTTATAACAGCAAACTTCATATTACCAACTTTTAATGAAACAGTTATTTCACCTATCAGTTTCTTAACGTTGCCAGCGTTGAATCGTTAAAAATAACTATAGTTGAAAAATAGCTAGTTATTTAACTAGTTAACGAAAACCCGTTAACCGTTTCGTATCGTTGACGGCAAAACCGTCAACGACCCACCTCTTATGTCTACCAAAATCGAAGCCGGCAACGAGTGGACAATTGTAAACAACAGGAGATACAAAAACGATGATGCAGAATGTTCTACTTCTACTACACCTCAAATGAAGACTACGAAGGAATATTGGTTAAACACTACTCCAACCAATAATTATTATGAAGTTCTAAACAATTTGCCAGAACCCGCTGCCCCACAACTTGTTGAAATTAGACCTCCACCAATATTCATACATGACGTTGGAAACATAAAGCCGCTTGTTTACCTTTTGGAAAATGAAGCCCAAAACTTTTACAGATTAAAAATTATCTGTAACACCCAGGTGAAAGTTAACTCAAATAATAGTTAACTTTATAACAAAATATTAAATATCTTAAAGGAAGAAGACACTCAAATGCATTCATTCCAAGAAAAAAAGCAAACGCACTTTCAAAGCAATTATCAAAAATCTCCATCACAGCACCGATCAAGATTTAATTAGGAATGACTTAGAAAAACTGGGACATAAAGTAGTGAGCATCTCACCTCTAAGAAGCAGAATATCGAAGTGTTCACTTAATATTTTTACAGTGGACCTAGAACAGAAAAGTAACAACAAAGATATTTACAAGATTAATTTCTTATGCAGTACTAAAGTCGATATATAAGCCAAACGTTTTTCTTGAGAAATCGTGCAGTACTCACGCTTCCAAAGATACCACACCCACAATTATTGCTATCGGACTCCACGGTGTGTTAAATGCGCTGGAGAACATTACGCCAAGAAATGTACATGGGAAGACAAATTTAACAAGGACGTCAAGTGTGTACTCTGCGGTCAAAATCACCCCGCAAACTACAGGGGATGACAAGTCTCCAAGGAAGAGCTCTATCGGAAATTCCTACAGTAATTCAAGGCTTATCTTACTCACGAGTTACCAGCCAAAAAACAAACCCAAATACAACACAAGAAATACCAAGCAGCACGAATCAGGTAATGTATAGTAATATCAATGACATTGCCGAACTTAAAACCATGCTAAAAACATTAACCGAACACGTGGGCACCATGCTTAATCTTTTAACTACAATTTTAGCAAAAACCAAATAATGGCTTTAGAACTTAAAGTCTGTTTATGGAACGCCAACGGCTTGAGTCAGCATACTCAAGAATTCAAATACTGTCTCACAAACAATGATATAGATATTATGCTAATTTCAGAGTCTCATGCTTCAGAAAAGCATTTTCCACGTTTTCCAAACTACACCTTATAAGCTAAACGTCACCTTGATGGCACTGCCCATGCAGGAACGGCTATTCTAATAAAATCTAAAATCAGGCATTATGAACACGTGCCATTCTCTGAAGACTACCTGCAAGCAACAATCATCACTTTGAGCCTATTATCGGTAAATACGTCTTTGGCAGCTGTATACTGTCCGCCCAAACATTCAATCTCTGATGAAAACTGGAGAGCCTACTTACTGGCCGAGTGACCCCAACAAACTACCTGACTTGCTTGACTTTTTTATATTAAAAAATATCCACTAAAGATCATTAATTATCAACTCTTGCCTTGATCTTAATTCTGATCACACTCCAGAAATTTTAAAATAATAGACTACATTACCGACAAACCCATTGATTGACAAGACAAACACAACCATTGACCCACGAGATAACCTGATGATAAATGAAAATTTAACAATGCTTGTAAACATCTAAAAACGTCTTACACGATTACAAAATTGGGGAAATCAAAAATTACCTGCAAAATCTCACAGTAACTGCTGACTCAAACTATGGACTGTGGAAGGCGACAAGAAAACTCAAAAGACCCATATTGACAATACCACCAATAGGACCATCGGATGGGAGTTGGGCCAGGCATCCGTTGGAAAAATCTTCAGTATTTGCTCAATATCTTTGTGAAACCTTTCATCCTGCGCCTCAAAAGTGCTCCAACGACGAAGAAACGTTTATTTGCAACTATCTATCTAGTGACTCAACATCTGATGAACCCGTAAAAAAAGTCACGTTGAATGAAGTATGTCAAGTAATTAGGTATTCAAAAACAGGCAAGTCTCCTGGTCTCAACCAAATTACTATCAAAATGCTAAAAGAATCCCCAAGCAAACTAATAAGATTTTTAACCATAATTTTTAACGCTATAATCAGGACGGTTTTATTTGTTCGTCTTGTGGCTGAAAAACCTTATCATATAATGTTTCAAAGTCGAAATAAACAATATCAAGATATATATATATATATATATATATATATATATATATATATATATATATATATATATATATATATGTGTGTGCGTGTACTCATGTTTTGCGCTTTTGTTTTTTTTTCAGTTTTTATCGGTTTGTTTTGGAACCCGAGATACAATTTACTTCGAGTGGAAAAGCAACACCTGGCCCGATGGCAGTATTTAATCGAATACCTACCACGCCTTTATTTACACAAAATATGCAGGTAAAGTTCAATAAATTTCTTATTCATGTAACACGACACATTTTTATTATAAAATTTATTAACTTCCACGTAGGGTAAGTTATAGTAATAGCAAAAAATCGAAAATATTTTTTTTTATATATCTTAACGTTTTAGAGTTTTCTGAACATTTTGGCATACCTTAAAAAAAATAGATGTATGTGTGTGTGTGCGTGTGTGCGAATACAAATTTTCGTTGACGATTTCGGGAACACGGTTCAACCGATTTTAATTATTCAAAAAACATTCGATTTCTGTTGATAAGGAGACGTGCTGATTAGTTTTTGGCATAGGCAGGTCTAGCCGTTTCGAAGATACGGGGCGTCAAATTATCAGATATTTTATAGAGATTTTAACAATAAGTATAAATTTTGTTTACATTCCTATGGATTCCGTACCAATGTGTATCCGTTAGACGGCGACGCGGCGCTTACGCGGTTGGATATTTCGTCTCTATGCTGTTAAGGCAGTACGATTGCTTTGAAAAAAAAAATCAGAATTTTCAAAATATTTTAAAATAAAGAAAACATTTTCTTCAAAGTCTTTTTTTTATCTTCTTATTTTATTAAAAAGTAAATTTTTGTCAAAATTTTATAGTTTCTCTAAATCTATTTTTTTTTTAAAAAAATTTTTTTTTTGATACGGGAACTACCAACAATTTGCCTTAAGGCACGATGTCCTGCGCCTCACTAGTTTAATAATTTAAGCTGACTAGCATTTTTGACAGATCTAAAACAAAATTTACTGGCATGCGGAAAATTTGATGATTTTATCTATAACTAGCCGGCCCGACAGACTTCGTCCCGTCAAAAAAAAATGTAATGTGGCGGTGTTTTGTGCCTACCTTTTTTCTATTCTTTGCAAAAAATTATCCTGAACAGAACCGTCACCCTGATAATAATTCGCTGTGAATTAAAAAAAATTAAATAAAACACTATAAGCATTTAAAAGTAAGTAATTTTAATAATGTAAATCATAATTCAAAAATCAGTTCAATTTTCATTGTAGTGCTTTGTGGTAAACGATGTTTTTTGTTTGATTACCTGGCGCATAGACAAACAAATCTGATGGTTTTCCAATACGGGAACAAACAACATACAATTTTCCATGTGAGAAACATGGGTTTTCTAAATTAATACCACAAACACTTAATGATACTATAAACGCACTGGAAACGCATTGGAATGCATGGTGCGAGAACATATTCTGCTTTATACTATCCTTTGAATATAGTTGGTCGATATTTCGCAACATTATAATTGCCGATCCAACCTTTAATTGAAGATTGTGAGGTGACAATCCTAGCAAATCCAGCGAGTTTAAAAACTCCGGTGGATCGTCTTGCTTAGTTGCCGAATCAACTGATTCGCCTGTAATTTGTTCTTGAATTTTGAAATTTAATTAATTTACATCAATGTTTTTGGCTGCCAATATAGCTTGATTAATAGAAAGATATTTCTATGTTTATATAAATATATTCAAAATTAGATTATCAAAAACTACACAAAATGTCATGACATAGATCATTGTTTTTTTTACAAATTGCGTTGCCTACTCGATTAAAGAAAAAAGGGCTGTTTTTAGGGTTTTCCCGGCGATTATTCGTTTTTTTCTCGCCGTAACAACCATCCTTGGACTTCAACGAACATTTTAGAAAAAAAATTGGCCAAATTGGTCCAGGCGTTGTTGAGTTATGCGCTTACCAACACATTTTGCGATCCATTTTTATATATAAGATATATCTTATGTATATAATTTTTCTGTAATGGGGTATGAAAGAATAATCCTTCTAAACGATTATTCGGATTTTGATAAATCTTTCTGAAGTTTATTAAGGAATTTTTTTAGAATTTTTGAATTATAGAAATATAGCTAGATTGTAAAAATAAATGAAGAAAATTACAAAAAACCGCTTATCATTGTTCGACATTGAAAATGTATGAGGCGTTGTTTGGCATTGAATACAAATGAAGACAGTCATCTATCAAACTTTTCAATTCACTTATAACCTAATACAATATGAAAATATAATATATTCATGATTATGAATAACAAAAATATAATGTCTACATTATTATTGCCGTAAAGCATCTGAGATGTGTCAAAAATTAAACAAACAATATATGACAACAATATATGATACAGTATATATTCAATTAGACAGATTATCTTTTGCCTTACTTTACTAAATCACAATACAAAAAAAATTACTTATTCAAAAAATTATTTAGAAGTTTGGCAGTGGATACGGAATATTTACTCAAGTCAATGGAGCGTTTTTAATCTGAATTTTTTCACTGCGCTCCAATTCGTATGAAATTTTGGAATTAGGTTAGGTTTAGGAACTTTTAAGTTCAAAAGAGGAATCGCTCGTCAACCGCCGTATAGGTCGGATCGAAAAACTAAACAATACATTCAGTGAACAATAAATAAATATTTTTCGGTTACCTGCAGTATAGTGTAGTGATATCCGCATAGTTTAACCCTTTGAACTCCGCGCGGTCGACGCATGTCACGCCCCAGCAACTCCCTGAGTATATTAGCGGAATATCTGTCATGTTTGTTATATAATGAAAAAAGGAACAAAAAAGAATTAACGTATTTATTTTTTAACAGCATTATTTCAATGCGTTTTAATGTTAATTTCAAACATCAACAATTAGTGATTCGTTATTAACTTTATTCGTTATTATATTTGTTAACGTTATGATGTGATCAGAGCGTGTCGGACTGGGTCCGACAACGGAGTTGCGGAACACATTTTGTATGTCGAACTGGAGCCGACAACGGAGCGTAAAGGGTTAAGTCATCACAAGCCGAACGCATGTTCCGTAACAGGACATGCTAGTTTGATTAAAAACACCATTTTAATACTATATTAAAGTGTGTATAGTGCTGTGAGCTATTATGTGTAATTCATTTTTTTTATTTTAAATCAAATAGTGTTTTATAATTAAAATTATGTCCCAATCTTCAGGGATATCAACAAACTGCCATATTGTTGAATCGCAAAACATATATGTGGCGGACGTAGCTCAGAGGTAGCATGTCCGACTCACATGCCGGAGATCGTTGGTTCGACTCCTGGCGCTTCGAAATGTAATGGAAAAATGTATAATTATCAGAATGTATGAGAATTTCAGTTGTAATTAAAGTAGATTAAGAATTGTTAATTTGTAGAATACAAGAAAAAAATCTATTAGAAGTAAGAAAGGAATAAAAGTTTAGAAGATGAGAAGAACATATTAAAAACAAGAAGAAGAATGAAAATTGAATGAAATTGAAGAAAGCAAATTGAATGGAAGATTAGGATATGAAGAAGTGATAGTATATGATGAATGGACAAGAAATATATATATATATATATATATATATAATATATATATATATATATATATATATATATATATATATATATATATATATTCTCTTTATTGAATTACAATCTGTCTTTACAAAAAGGAAGACATTCAGTAATTTCGATGATATATGAAATATGAATCCTTAGATCTAAAAGGTTACCCAGTAGTAAGCCTTTTCAATTTTGATATATTGAATTTAAATATTGTGATTATATAGAGTAAACTTAAAAATAAAATGATCTATGAGGTAAATGAGTATAAATTGTGAATTATAACAACAAATAAAAAAAAGACATAACTAATAAACTAAACATAATAAAATTAAATAAAAATATAAATAAACAACTAAATAAGTAGTACTGCCAATTAGAATGAATATATTATATATTATGTGGAGGTCAATGTGTCGGATCCGTCGAGGGGGCGTTTCTTTTTTAGCCGTTCAATGCCGTGCGACTTCAATAAATTCTTGGCCAGAATATTAGGATGGTTTTGTACTCTGCTCTTATATTTTTGACTAATTAATTTAATTTCTTCATCAATAGTGTTTATGTTTAGGTCTTGATGGACTAACCAGTTTGGAGTGTATTTGGGGGCGTTTAGTATTTGTTTCAAAAATTTGTTTTGGAATCTTTGTATAATTGCAATATTAGATTTACGTGCTGTTCTCCAGAGTTGAAGTCCATAAGTCCATATGGGTTTAAAAACTACTTTGTATATCAGCAGTTTATTCCACGTACTTAAGCGCGATTTTCTATTCAGTAACCAATAAAATTTTCTTTTTGTTGTTTCGAGTTTCCATGTTAATTTAGAATCCAAGTGCAACCCCAGGTAATTAATGACATTTACCTGCGAAAGCATTTGATTAAAGAGTTGAACGGTTGGACATGATTTTTTCCTGAGGGTAAATGTGACATGTATAGACTTCGAATTGTTTACTTGAAATCTCCAAAGTTTGAGCCAATGTTCAACTTCCGATAGATGAGTCTGTAGTTGTGCGGATGCTTGTAATGGACCATGGTGCTGTGATAGTATAGCTGTGTCATCTGCGTAAGTTGCAATTGTAGTGTTATCTGATACAGGATTATCTGCTGTATAAATTAAATATAGATATGTACCTAAAACGCTACCTTGCGGGACACCCGAATTTACAGGGCGTTTTGCTGATGTTACATCCTTAATACTTATTACAAAGTGCCTGTTCATTAAGATTTTAAAATTTGAAACAAAACGGATGGAAATATTTTTTTAATTTATATAGCAAGCCATGGTGCCAAACTTTGTCAAAGGCTTGGCTTATGTCGAGAAATACCGCTGAACAGTAAAGCTTTGAATCGAATGAGTCCATAATCTTCTCTGTCACTCGGTGAACTTGTTCTAAGGTTGAGTGTTTTTCCTGAAATCCAAATTGATAAATTGGGATGATTCTGAGGTCTTGCAAGTATGGTCGCATTCTCTTCAATAGTAGCTTTTCAAAAAATTTTGATATGGTTGACAGTAGGCTGATCGGTCGATAACTAGAAGTTTGATTTAGGTCTTTATCGGGTTTTGGTATCAGAATTACTTTCGCTGTTTTCCAAACGGTTGGAAAAACTTCTATTCTGATAATAGAGTTATAAA